TGGTAGGGCTTTGCTCTCCATCCCTCAAGGGTGAGCTGTGCTTAACCACTGACTTCTGATGAGCAGAGTGTGGAAAGGGGAAGTAAATAACTATGGTGGAGAAACGTGGCCAATACGATCTATGGGCAGCATTCATAAAATTGGTAAAATGTCATGTTGATGGTATGTCTTACTCCCAAATACCCTATCCCTAGCTGAACCATGGTGAGAAGCAATCAGACAAACCCACAACTGAAGAACATTTTATGAAATATCTGACCAGCACTCCCTAGAACAATACAGTTCATGGAAAATAAGGATAACTTGAGAAATTGTCATGAGTGGAGGAGACTCCACTCTTGAAGTTAAGGAGACTTCATGACTAAATGCAATGTGATATTCCGGAATACAGTCCTGGTACTGGGAAAAACTGTGAAACAGAATAAACTGAGGAATTTAGATAACAGTCATGTACCCATATTGGCTTCCTAATTGTGACAAATGAACCAAGAGAAGTGGTGATGAGCATAAAGGACTTAACTTTACAGCTTTTCATTAAGTTTAAAACTATTCTAATATTAAAAGTTATTTTTTTAAGAAAGGGTACTTAAGATTCATTTCTGTTCCACTGGTCTTAATAGTTTGGGGAAGAAGTTGTGGGTGGGGAAAGAGGAGAAGCATGAATGATGTGTGGGAACCGCTCCCCTCCTCCACCCACACATTCACCTTTCTGGATATTAGTAATCATGATGTCATTTGGGTTGGAAGAAGTTCATGTTTTGTATGTAGCTAATGGTTAATGTGACAGACGTGCCTGATCATATGAATTGGCACTGTGGTTTTAACATAACTTGGAGTGGTATCTTTTAAGAACCACTGTTCTGGGACTCCCTTTGCCTCTCCACTGTGTAGAATCCCTGGTCCACTGGATTCTGTTTTTCCTAATTGGCTTCCCCTTCCTTTCTGGGGGGTTGGGGGGAAACAAGGAAGAATCTTCTCCATTAGTTTAATGAAAAACTATACATAAATAAGGTTTGGGAAACTTGAATCTCTAAATGTCTTACTTAAATGATATTTTGGGTCTAGAATTCCAAAATGCAAATGACCTTCCCTCAAAAGTTGGTAGGCATCACTCCACTTTCTTCCAGCTTCTTCTTCTCTTTTTTAAGAAGTCTGATGAAACCCAGGGGTGTTTTACTACAGAGCTGCACGGCCAGCCCATTTTTAATTCTGTTTTTCCATATGGTCTCCATAAGTTGCTGATGTAGGCCTTGAACTTGCAACCCTCCTGCCTCAGCCTCCCAAGTTGCTGGGGTTACAGATGTGGGCCACTGTGACCAGCCAGTCTAATTCAGTTCTGAATCTTAATTGTTTATATCAAATCTGTTTTCTCCCTTTGAAAGCTTTATAGATCTTTGCATTGTTTTCTGTGTTCTGAAATGTCATAATTATGAAACTTGTATAAGTCTATTTTTATTTATTGTACTGGACACAGCCTAGGCCCTTTAAATTCTTCATTTTTTTGTGGGAAATTCTCATAAATGGTTTTGTTGTTGACTTCCACTCCTCCACTTTCCCTGACATAGTATTTGGTTCTTCTGTGTTTCTCCTCTAATTTTTAAATTACTATGCTTATATTTCTATTTATCCTTTGATATAATTTAAGATAGTTTATCAATTTATCTGCTAATCTACTTATTGAATTTCTCTTTTCCAATCCTCATGCTTTTAATTTCCAATAATTCTTTATTTTTACATTTTTCTGAGAGGTTCATTTTTAATAGAATCTCCCATTTCAGGAAACTTATTTCTTGAAACATTTTGATAATAACTTTTTCTTTTCTATATTTTTATCTCCCTCTAGTCTTTTGTCTCCTCTAAGCTGCAACTTATTTGTTCTTTCTGTAGTTTTGTTTTGTTGTCATGTGTATGTTGGAGTTTCTCCTTTAGATATCTAGGGATTCTTACCTGGTTTGTAATAATTAAGAGTGGATTGCTGGATACAGTGGGCCACATCTGTGATCCCAGCAGCCTAGGGGTTGAAGCAGATTTATGGCCAGCCTGGACAACTTAGTGAGATCCTGTCTCAAAAGAAAAAAAAAAAAGTGCTGAGGATGTAGCTCAGTGGTAGAACACCCCTGGGTTCAATCCCCATTAACACACAAGAAAAAACAAACAAAAAAACAAAAAACAAAAAAAACGAGTATATCACAAAAAATTCAGGCAAAATTCTATGCTTCGAATGGGAAGCTTGATGACTATGGGGGTAGAATGATTGAGCTGGTTTGTTTATGGAAATTCCCATCCCTTATTAGAGTTTCTAGATCTTTCCTCTTGGCTGGCCTGATTTTCAAAGATGAAACTATCACTTTGGTAGGGGATGTAGATCTCATCATCTACTTTAGGAGAGCAAAGTGGAGGAAGAGATGTTGGCAGTGGCTTCAATATTTAATAAGTGAGCATATTTAGCTTAATCTTCATTTCAAGATAATGTACACATCATTAACTGTTTCTAGACCCTCCCCCCCAATCTACCCCTACTCCAGTCCAGATGTCCTCTTATTACCTCTCTACAAGAATCAGGTACCAGTTTGCCACCAGGTAGGAGAAGTGATGGAAGTCCCATTACATCTTCAACAAGCTTTCTACCATTTTTCCTGTTTTTAACATTGTCTTCATATCATAAATACTAGGACCATCAATCCCCAAGCCTTTAGGATTCAATCCCTAGAATCATTCTATCCCCTCCCCCTCACCTCAGGACTTTTGACCTCTTTACCAGGTGAGGTGCCGGCTGTCCTGCTTCCACCTGTCAACAGGTTGTTGCTATCACCTCCCTTCTCATTTTCTTTGTCTTAATATTTTTTGCCTCTTTTTTTGAAAAACCCTTTATTATTGTTTGTGTGTATATATGTATGAAGAAAGTTATGTGTTTTACTTGCCATTGTTAGATGGAAATTCAGTAGAAAAACCGAGACACGATGTTCTCTTGAGTCATGCAATAGAATCATTGTGAAGTCTCAGCTTTAATCTGAAATCTAGAGTTGGCCCTAGCAAGAACTGAGTAATCAAGATGCTCAATCATTCCTATGATTGAGAGATGAAAGGATGCTGATTGCTGGAACCATTGTGCCAGTTGGAATGAATAAGGCAAACTTCTGGTAAGTGTTGTAAGTATATATGCAGTAAGATTTTTCTTCTTTTCTTTCACTATTAGATCAAAGAAAATTAATTAAGTAGATAGAAAAAAAGAGAAACTATTTCTTTTTGCTGAGCACCTTTCATATAGTCTTGGGAAAATAACTCTTCTCTGAAGAGGCCTTAAAGTCCTGAAGGATTCAATAGCAATCATCTGAAGGTTACAGAAGCAAATGTGTACCCATAGGAACCACATAGGTATAAATGAGATATATGGCAAATAGAGCATGAGATATAACATATGGCAAAATAGAACATGAAATATAATATATGGCAAAAGGCCTTTGACCTTAGGGTTGGGGATACCACAGAAAACATGAGGAAATTATGGGTAACTTGAAGGTGAATGCTCTATTTACAGTGGTTTCTTACTAATGAACTTTAACCTATTAGTAACTTGTGGAAATGAGCAATATACATTATCAAGAGAAACTAGAAATACGCTTTTAAGATGAAATTATTCAAAGATATTAAAATGAAATATTACAATATTAACATGAAGCCATTTAAATAATTTTAAACATTGACAAGTAGTTCAAAAATGATAAATACTATTCAGGCCAAGGAAAACATATTTGTGAACCAAATTGAGTTGCAATGTCCATTTTATAATCCATGCCATAGTGTCCTATTTATCCTGGTTCCTATTTCAAGATTGCACAGGGTCATTCATAATTGTTATGGCAAAAGTAGTTTTTGAGGTTGACATTTATCTCTGGGAAATATTAAGCTTATTAAGATCGAAGAAAGGAGATTTAAAAATTCTATGTGCTCTTGGCCATGGAGCAACACTATTTTGATGCCATTTCTCAGCTTTAAAAAGGAAGGGTGGCTGAGGTTGTGGCTCAGTGGTAGAGCGCTTGCCCAGCATGTGTGAGGCACTGGGTTTTATTCTCAGCACCTCATATAAATAAATGAATAAAATAAAGCTTATCAACAACTAAAAATACATTCACTTTTTTTAATAAGAGGAAGGAAGAAAACTGCTAAAGATACATTATTGTTAAAAAAAACTAAGTGAAGAACAATATGTTTAATATGTTAACTTTTATGTTAAAATAGAAGCATATTTTTATATTTGCTTGTCTATGCATGAAGAAAAATTTTTAAATTTCATAAAAAGATTTAATAATGACCTCTGGGGTAGGAACTGTGTAGGGGAGGACAATCTGGAGAGGTCTTTGCTATATATGTTTTTCTTGAGTTATGATACCACCTTTTCAAACAATTAAATTAAAATCTTATTCCATTTTAATCACAAATCCGTATCAAACTAACCTAAGTTTGAAAAGGATATTTTAGCTTATGTGCTGAAAGAGTTCAGGGGCAGCAGCATAAGCATAAGACATGGCTGAGTAAATTAGGACTTCCTTGCTTTCTACTTCTCTGTTCCTTTATAACTCCTCACACTCAACTCTTATCTGCAATTCTTCTTGCAGCATGTGATTGCCCCTCAATGTTCTGGAAAAATGGTCACAAGCTACATGAACCACATGTTCCTATAGCTTGCCAAAGAGAAATAAAACATATTTTCTTCTCTGGCAGGGAAGTCCCAAGAAGGAGTCTTCGACTGTCTTGGGTCACATACCCATCCCTGATCCCGAAGCAATCACTGTGGTCAGGGGTAGAGTACTCTGATTGGCTAAGTATAGGTCATATGGAGATGTTGAGGTTGTCCTCACTTGCACTGTACAGAAAGGGGAGGAGTAATCCCTCAAGCTAGGGTTGATGGTAATCAACACATTACCTACTATAAAATAAAACGCTTTAAAAACTCCAACAATCTTTTTAAATCCCATGAGTCAGACATTTTTATCTAGACCTACTACAGAATTCGGTGTACTTCATGGTGCTAGGGACATGGAAAATGACCATCAACTACCCAAAATTCTGCTCTCCATTTATGTGAGTTTGATAGCTGACACTAGAATATGACATCTTCTTCTAGAACCCTTTGAAGTTGTTATTTTATAAAACTAGAAACACATCAAGCCCCTCTCTATTACAGACTGCTAGTTTCCTCTTGGTATAAATAATTTCAAAGTCTAGATTAACATGATGAGACAAAAGAAAATGTGTACAAAAAGAAGGAGCAAGGCAAAAAGCTTCAGTTTCAGAAATACTGAACTAAACTTTACAAACCTGTCAAATTTTTAGAAGATAAAAAACTCAATGAAGTTCAATATAAAGTCATCTAACCCAATGACTGAAGTCAAAAAGTGGGTTTCTGATTAGCGAGTTAGCTAACTTGTGCATTTTGAAGCTTTTTCAGTTTTTGAGGAGAACCCAGTATGCTTCAGGAGAGAATGCAGGTTCACTCAAAAACAACTCTACCTTATTAAACATTGTGAAAAGAAGCAGGGTGAAATAAACCCCTGCAATTCTTCCAAATATCAGTTTCCCCATCTGTAAATGGAGATGAGAGCTTTGTTTTACAAAATTATTGGGAGTTGCATAGTATCCACTAGAGACAGAATGGTTATTCTCTTTCTCTCCCAAATTCATACAATGAAATTTTAACCCTCAATGTGCTAGTGTTGAGAGATGGAGTCATTAGGATGTGTTTAGATAATGGTAGCAGAGTCCTCATGAATGGAATTAATTCCCTTGTAAAAGGAACCCCAGGGAGCTCCCTTCCCTTTCTGCCATGTGAAGTGATAGTTCAAAGACTGTTAAGTTCTAAAATCTGGGAAGTGGGCTCTCATCAAACAGCAGCACTGGCACCTTGATCTTGGGCTTCACAGCCTCCAGAACTTTCAGAAAGAAATCTGGGCTGTTTATAAGCCACCCAGTCTATGGTATTTTATCATAGCAGTTCAAATGGACCAAGACAGTATACAACTGCTGCTGTACCAAATTACTACAAACTTAAATGATATAAAACAACATGAATTTATTATCTACAGTTATGCAGGTCAGAAGTCCAAAATGGGTGAATAGAACTTCATTAGTTCCAGAATCTCTAGAGGAGAATTTAATTTTCTTGCTCTTTCTAGTTATTAGCTCATGGCCTTATCACACTGATGCCACAGTCCGGCTGGGTCCGGCTGGGCAAAATAACCGGGAGGTGGGGAGGTGACAAGCAACTTGAAGGTTGAAGCAGGAACTACTTTATTTCGGGGCAGGGTGCAGGGTGGGGGAGGTTAGGGTTAGGGTTAGGGTTAGCAGAGGTATATATTCCTAACTGATTACACACAGGTTGACTCAATTAGCATCATCTAGATACAGCAGTCAGCTAATAAGGAATCCCCACCATCTTAATGGCTCGGTGGTGTTGCCTCACAAACCACTCCTCCTGGCAAACTGCCAGGCGCCATCTTGACTTGATTTGTGGTCCCTAAAACACTGACGTCTGCTTCCATGGTTATGTCTTCTTTTCCAACTCTGATCTTTTTACCTCCCTCTTATAATTATTTGGATAAATGGAAGATAATCCAGAATAATCTTTCAATGTCAAGATTATTAACTTAATAATATCTGCAAAGTTCCTTCCCATATAAGCAGCATATCCATAAGTTTTGGCAATTAGAACATGGACAACTTTGGGAGGCCATTATTTTGCCTACTCTAGGAATATAAAATGAAATATCTATGAAAGTTCTTAGCACTGTGCTTGTCACATAATAGATGCTAGATCAATGCCAATTTGCAGCTTGTAAGTTTTAACAGTTCAGATGTTTGATCATGCACTCTAGTATTAAAATATTCAATGTCCTGTAAGGCAGAGTATACAATGGTACATTCTTGTAAATGTCTCCTTATATTTTTACATTTATGAATTTTTCCTTAGAAAAGATTTTTTCTATCCAAAAATAAGGCAGTATTTGGAGCTATTTTAAGCAGCAAAACATCCAACATACAAATTTTCTTCCATTACTGTTTAATGAAGACCAAAAGCAACCCATGAACTGTGGGAAAATTTCAAAGAACACTCAATGCCCTAAATAATGTTACATCTTGTAGATGGTGCCAAAGGATTAGCTTATCAAGAATGACAGGAGGTTGCAGGAGGTCAAGGTGTGAGTACCTGTGTTTGGGTTAACAGTTCCCAAGGGCATCTCAGGGTCTTTTTTGAGGGGAGGATCTTGCTGGTCCAAACCACATTCAGCACAGTCCAGTGGCTCTAAACCAGTAGATGAAGGCTGGCTTTTAATGTTTTTCTCCTGCCCTATTGCACTCCAACAACTTCAGTGGCTAAATAGGATGCTCCATTGCTTTGAAGAAGATGTGTGGTAGTCTTTGAGAACTTTCCCAAAAGGTTCATGAAGCACAGACCTCATGTCTAAACAAAGGTACATATTAAGACAATAAATTCTAGTGCAAAAAATAAAACACCCATGGTATCCAGAGGGGTCAATCTTTGCAGTAATGAAGTTTATATTTGGTATGACGGGCCATCCTTAGTAGGTGTTCTTTCTGGTTAATAATAGTCTTTGTTTAGTAGTTGCTCTCCTAGGAGGCAATGCTAATGTAATACTCACTGAGTTTTCTGCTGCTGGCTGGGAATTATCAATAGGTCATAAATAAACTACCACCACATAGAAAAGACAATAAGATTATATATACTCCTACTACCTCCAATTACAGTAAGAGCAACAATTATAAGGTTGTACTCCTACAGCCTCCCTAGGGAGAAAATGAGAGGAAAATGTTCCATTAGCTTAATGAAGAGAGCATGGTGGAGTCACAGTCAAATTTTCTCACTATTAGCACCTATGGTGTGCCCCTGCACACTAGGGAAGCTTGAGTTGCGGGTAACAATTAAACTTTTCTGACAATTAGCCCCTACAATGTACGGTCTCTGTACTCAAAGGAGACATTTCAAAGAATCACATTTACATTTTTCTCACCTCTTGCCTATAAAATTTGAATAAGTCATTTGCTTGTGGAAATGGAGGAAGTAAGAGTGAAAAGTTTATTTTACGGATGAGTGCAAAGCATCATGTTGGCAGTTTTGCGGAGAGCACAGGTCATCTGAATGCCCCTGTCTATAAAAGGAAAGGTTAAGAAAGAGGAAAGATCTGCAGAGAAATGTTCACACAACCTAATTAGGGAAAAAGATGGACTTGGATAAATGTCAGTTATTTAGCTTCTGTGTTAGGAAGAAGACCACTGAAAGAAAAAAAGAGAGATGTAGGCTTCACTTTGCAAAGGGCAAAGAGAATCAGGTTTGCCTCCTGGAAGATGTTGTATTGGAAAGGGAAGAAAGAAGTCTTCTGAGACAGGCTGCCCTGGGCTCAGATTCTAGCTCTACCATTTAATCTCTCCAGGTCTCAATTTTTCTCCTTTGCAACATGGAGGTGCTAATAAAGCAAACTTTCATGGATTATTGGGAGGATTAAAAGAGAAAATGTATAAGGATCAACCAATCGTGCTCAACAAATGTTAGTTATTATTTTTGTTCATACTCAGCCTAGAATGTTGCACATTTGTATAGTATAAGTAAATTTTTGTGTGAAATTGAGTACTATCAAAATTTCCTCCTGGATATCATAATTCAAACTTTACTTTAGGTGGTAGTGCATAGATAGTTTACTTGGTTTCCTCTCAATTTAAAAGGAAGGATATTTATGCAATTTGGAGATATACATTTGAATGCTTTACAAATTGTGCATAAATAAATGGATAAATATGGACAACTAGTGGATCCCCCTCCCCACCCACACATACTACATTGTCAAAAGCACAAGAGACTTTTGTTTGGTCCAACTTTTGTACTCTATCAAGTGGAATCCTGAGGTCCATCATGCCTGTGCACTACTGCTGTTGCTTCTGATTACCGCATGGAGTCACTGTTGAAAAGTGGATGTTCTCCTGTTCCCTTCTCTGGGAAGAACAAAACAGTTCTTAGAAGCTCTACCCCTCTTCCTTGGAGATGAATTTGACCAAAGGTGAACCTCTCATGATATCCTTTTCTGTATTGTACCCCATATCCTCCAGCTCACTAGTTCACCAGAATCAGGACTGGTTCAAATCTCAGCTCCCTCAAAAACCCAGAACGCTCTCCCATCCTTCCCTTAAAACACCCTCAAAGGGGCTTCCTGGATTGCATTTCTAACTTCCAACTTCTAGTTAAAGTTACTGGAAATAAATAAATAGAAATCTGAAAATAAGTAAATAAAAGCAAGTCAAATAGCAGACTTTGTCTTATGAAGAAATAGTATTACCTAGGATATAATATTTCAACAAATATTAATCTTCCTGGGCTGGGGATGTGGCTCAAGCAGTAGCGTGCTGGCCTGGCATGTGAGGGGCGCTGGGTTTGATCCTCAGCACCATATAAAAATAAAATAAAGGTGTTGTATCCACTGAAAACTAAAAAAAAAAATAAAGATTAAAAAATTCTCTCTCTTTTAAAAAAAAATTATTCTTCCTGTCTGTGGATTTTATTGGTGCTTCAGAAGGGGGTTTGCAATGGCAATTAGACTTTTGGTGTTTGTGAAAGTACAGCAGTTAAGATCTTTTAATTGTATCAAGATATTGGTTTGAGAAATGGAAGTACTTCATGTTCACCTGTCCTGCGATGGCTGCTGTCCTGCATCAATCAGGTAGTGGGTCACCTCTCCTGCATGAAGTGTGTTGATACCTTTTACAGCACTTGCTACTCCTTTCCTATTTACAAAGGGTTCATTATGCCTTCTGCCCTCCAATTTCTGTGACCATTATGCATATGTTGTAAAAACTGCACCCCATTTCCAGAGCTCATTATTCCTTTTCCCTTCATTACTTCCAAAGAATTTATCATCATCTCACATACTACATATTTTACTTATTCATGTTTCTATTTTCTGCCCTCTCTTAACTATAGCTAAGAGCTGCATGAAAACAGGGGATTTTTGTTTATTCTTTACCTAATCTCCTCAGAACAATGCTTGGCACTTAGTTTCTCAATAGTTATCTCTTGGTAGAATTTATTTTAAACATTTAAATCATGACCCAACTTCATATTTATTAAAGGATAAATTATCAAGATTATAGATGGGAAAGATTTTTATAACTCTACAAACTTTCTTTCCTAACAATAAGCTCTATCATCATCACTACCAATACTTTTTTATTATTGACTCTTCTCCCAAAATTAGGTGGCTACAAATGATAAAATTTGATATCTATATCTTATAAAAGAGGACTTTTTTTAAAAAAAAAAGAGACTAAGAGATGATCTAGTTATTTTTCCCTGCTCCCATATTTTTTGAGATGTGGAAAGTGACAGCAGATCATTTAGTTCTGAGGGGATTAGGTAAAGAATAAACAAAAATCCTCTGTTCTCATTGCAGCTCTTAGCTTCATTGTCTGAATCTGAAGGGTTTTGTTTTAAGATAGAAAAAACCTGTGACTTTATAAAAAGATTTGATAACCTGTCCTCATCAGCATAGAAGCTCCCCAAAGCTTATGAGCCCTATGTTCGTGTCTGAGATCATAGGCAATGATTTTGGCTATGTCACAGTATCAGGGTGGACCATGCAAGTAGGATGGTGATGTACTTACTGTGTTTTGAGAGGTAGTATGGAGACCCTATAACCCACAATATAGTATACTCCCAATATCAAAAACCACACCATTGGCTTTTGTGCTAAGCTTTACTCACTCTGCAATCCTATTTGAAAAGCAAATCCTCTGAATGTTGGAACACAAAAGGTTCCTAATACTTTAGTGGGGGACACAGAGACTTTGAAGGGATCCTAGAAATCCAGGAGCACAGAAGCACTGAGCATCTGGGACTGGGGAAATAGCAAAGGGGATTCTAGGAGTGTACTTAAGAGGAGGCAAAAATGCTGTGGGTCAACTGAACACTTAAGGCCAGCTCTGAGTTTCTTCCACAGTTAAATGAGCTAAAAAAAAGCGCCTTTATAGTGTTAATGGTGGGATACGATGATGCAGAACTAATCATGTATGAAGGTACTGGGAAGCATATGACTGACATGAAGTTATTCAACAATTATTAATTTACTAATAGTACTCTTGATCTCCTTCTGTGATTATTTATGAACACATAGGTTTCAGAGTGGTGCAGCACTTCTCTGAATATTTTCTGCAGTTGGATGTATCTAGTATGTGTTGTAAATGAAACGGTACAAAGTATGTTTTATGGGTTAGAAGAAATAAGTGTATTCAGTAATGTGTTGAGGGATAGAGAATCCCCTGCTGATGTAGGGGACACACTATATAGTAGTTAAACACAACAACAATACTAACCAGATTTGGCTGTTTTTTATCACCACCATGTGCCAACAATTCTAAACAATGCTAGTGATAAAATAATCCCCCCCGAAACTATCTAAATTCTAAACAATTCCTCTGATTATTATTGTTGAGTTGAAATAAAACACATCAAAGTTTTAGTTAGCACAATTTGATAATTTATCCTTTAAGAAACATTAATTTGGAGAATTCCCAATTGTACAGTTAAGCTTCCACTTATAAACTCTGCTGTACCCACTCCTTTCAGGAAACACACTGAGAAACAATGAAACCTGCTTTGAAAGCAATTTTTATCTCCAAACTTTGTATTACATAATTCTGTTTTTAAACAGTATATTTGAAATTAACAACAGTGATTTTGAAGAGGAAAAACAACCCAAGTTATTCTATGAAGTTTTTGTAATAAAGACAAGATAGCGTGCCAACTCTATGGAGTATTGTTTTTGAGAAGTGCAGATTTTTAAAAAAATTTTTTAGTTGTAGATGAACACAATATCTTTATTTTTATTTATTTACTTTTATGTGGTGCTGAGGATTGAACCCAGGGTGAGGCAAGCGCTCTACCACTGAGCTATAACTCCAGCTCATGAGAAGTACAGATTTTATTTCAAACATCAAGTCTTACCAAATGTGAATAATACTTCTTTTTATTGTTAACTATTTGCTTTAAACTAAATATAATTCAAGAAAACAAGAGTGCATTGGTAGTATAATTTATTTGTTTAAATTGTATCTACATTCTGCAAGATATTTTGGTTCATTAAAATACACAGCTGGAGGGGTTGTGGCTCAGTTGTAGAGCACTTGCCTAGCATGTGTGAGACACTGGGATTGATTCTCAGCACCACATATAAATAAATAAAATAAAGGTCCATTGACAATTAAAAAAATATTAAAAAAAATACATACCTGGGCATGGTGGTGCACATCTGTAATCCCAGCTACTTGAGAGGTTGAGGCAAGGAGGATTCCAAGCTTGAGCGCAGCCTGGACAACTTAGTGAGACCCTGTCACAAAATTAAAATTAAAAAAGAAAAAAAACAGAGTCTAGGGATGCAGCTCAATGGTAGTGCACTTGCCTAGCATGTGCTAGATCCTGGATTTGATCCCCAGTACTGGGGGAAAAACAACCTCACTTACTGGTTAATGTAATTACAACAGACCAATATTTAGGTATAAACCCTCACTGAAGATACATTTATATAATTTAAAATGGTCAGTTTTTTAAATTCTGTAATATATTCCTTTTTATTTTTTTTTACCAGCATTATTATTATGAATACACACATATATATTCAGTAAAAAGCAATTTTCACTATCTACACATCTTTTTCTGGCCATCACACTTGTTCTTTTCATTACTACTGAAAATAAATTTGTTACGTGGAGGTTGACAGGTGTCAAATATTCTAGGTGTGCCACTAATACCCTGATAGTACACTGAGATCTGCTAGGATCTCTATTAACTACTTGCAGCCTTGCAAATGTTTTGCACCTTGACTGGTTGATTTTTCTAGTGATTACTAAGCCAATGAGCTACATAAGACCAATTTGAGTTCCATTTTTAACTCCATTAAAAGATAAGAATTCTTATTATTATAATTACTTTGTCTTCACTGGTTAAATTAACATTCAGTTATTGGGGTTGCTGTGCAATATACAATATTATTTTACCTAGTGTGTGTTCAAAGTAGTCTTGTCACAGAAACAGCATGCTAGCATGAAAAGCATTATAACAAATAGGTAAATACATGTCTTTTGTGAATTAAAAGGGGGGTAATTATGTCAGCTGTACTGTATTTGTGGGTGAATAGCTAAAAATAATTGAAGTAAAAATGTCAGGAAATATTTAACATTAAGTACAAATAATCACAAGATTGTCATAAGAATGACAATGATCTGTAAAATAATTTTTAGTTTCCTTTGGTAGAGTAGTCAAATTAGAATAAGAAAACACATGTAAAAACACTTTTATTTTCTCTTCACTTTAAGCAGTCTCAGTCCTAGCCTATGCACTACAGGTACAATTGCTGTAATTTTCCTGTCAAAATAGATATTTGCTTTAAAAGACCCTCAAATTATTATTTTTATTTTTATAATTTATCTTTATGCTTTGTACAAATAGAAACCAAATAAATCCTAATATTGAAAATATTTTGGCTTTCTAGAAACATGTAAAATTTTGCTGTATGGGGTATGCCTATTATTGAGATTCTTTTAAAAATAAACATACCAGAATCTGCAACTGATCTTTAAAGTAATCTCTCTGGTTAACTATATAGTTTGCCAATCATTCTGACATTGTGCCAGATCTTTTCTGGGCATTCCTTTCTTTGTTAATGGCCTTCAAGCCTTGTGTCATATTCTTTTATTTTTTGCAATGCTGGGGCTTGAACCTAGGGTCTCACACTGAGTTACACCCTCAGCCCCAAACATTGGTGATTTCTTTAGCCTCATGAATATAAGGTGATTGATTAAGGTAAATAAGAGAGTTTTATTTAAAAAGAGGAAATTATAAAGTTCATTTTTCTTCTGCAGCTTCAAAATCAACTTTGCTGGCTTTTGCATAGAGAAGTCCCTTAGATACTCTTCTAGCTAAGAGCTTCATTGGAATCATCTCTAGAGAAGACACATTTGAAAGACAACATGTATTTGAAGACATGAAATGGTAGGACTGTTAATTATGTCCCCAACCCTTAATAGTCAAACAGATTCTAATGGCTTCTGATGTAAAGCAATGATTGGTGACAGAACATGGCTGTTTTGGGGCAAGAATGAAACGCATAATGTTAGAATTTACAAGGGAACTGGCTGACAGACAGTTTTAGGATCATGTTACATTTTCTGCAACCTTTCTCTCTTAAATTTTGTTTGGAACATTATTCAGCAATGCAATGATATCATTTTGCAAAAATAATTATTTTCAGTCTTATTCCAAAAATATAAGGATACTAAAAATAAAGAATATAGTGTTACAACATTAATAAACAGTATAATAGAATGCAGTAGGATAAAATAACTGAAGCAAGAGAAAAATAAGAAAAGTGAAAGCAATGCAAACTTATTAAACAAACAAGTATATAAAAAAGTTCTGCACACCTTTAATAAAAGAATTTCAGCTTTCAGTTTCCTAGTTACTAAAGCAGAGAGGAAAATGATGTTATAAGGATATGTATGTATGTGAATTCTAAGTGCTGGTTAGCTTACCTAGATGAAATACTAAACCTGACTTTGCTATTGACACAAACTTTAATTTATTTGTGCAGCAGTAAAAAATGGGTATTTAATCCTTGATTTTCCTCTGGTTTACTATAACATTACAAAAAATATGGATATACAAAGCTATAATCTATGTTCAGCTCATAAGGCATTAAAGGAAGTCCAACAATGAACTAGTGCTAACTTTGTACCATTCTCTTGATATGCTAGCTCATTTAATTCAGGAACCAATCTTACTTTTTACAAATGAGGACTCTGGGTACAAGGTCTCCTTAAAGACAAATGACGTTTGGACTGTACTATGCCTAACCATAGAGCCACAGTATATTCTCCACTGATAACACTACTTACTAACTCCTCCTAGGATTTCCTGAAAACTATCTTAAGTAGAATATAAGAGTTACCTCTTTTAAATTCTCTAAACATCAAACTTTGATTTTCATTAAGGCCCAAGACTACTTTTATGCACTGAGTTTCATCCTTTGTATTTAGCCATTTACCACCTGAATTATTATTTACTCAATATTTTTTCTTTATATGAAATCAACTCAAAATTTAAGGATTTCATATTATTATTAAAAATATAAAGCCAGTGTGCCTGCCAGAGAGAAAAATAAAATATGAAGAGAAATAATTATAAAAAAAATGTGAGTACACACAGCTCCTACAAAGCTCTCAGGCACCAACTGTACATTCCAGGGCAGCAGGGGAGAGGACAAGGGGGACCCTTCTATGTCAGACCTAAAGTCAGGAAGCTCCTTGGGTGGAAGAGAATGGTTTTCAGTGGCAGTTCCTGAGGGTCACAGTTAAGCCACAATATCACATGATGCCCTTTCTCACATTCAGACAACAGAGAAACTTGGCACTGTAGCAGAGAGACAGCCCTAGAGAACATGAAGAAATATGTTTACTGCCTTAAGAAATCTGTAGCTGCTGCCAGAAGTAACTTATTCAATAGTACTAATTTGGGCAAAAGTGCTCATAGAATAAAATAAAATGTTCCTTTACTCTGAGAATAATTTTCTACTCTTTTTGGCATTAGTAAGATATAAATGCCCTTGTTATGAAAATTCAGATTTTCAGAAACTAAATTTGACAATTCAAATAATGTTACATCAAATCAATAAATCAAGCAATATGATATTTTGAAAAATTGTCAAATAATTTAAAAATTATTTTTTATAAAAAAGCAAGAAACCCCAAAAGTAATAGCTGGTACCTTGAAGCATTTCTATATCTTTCAGATTGTAAATTCTGGGGAAAGCATGCACAGCCTACCTAATTTTACATTTTTTTTCCCCAGATGTCCAACTCAGGTTTAATTGTGATTCATCTTAAGAACAGATGATTTCCACACTAACAATAAACACACAATAAACAAACAAATAAAATTTGTTCAATGTTCCTGTGGACAAATTTTATTTTCACTCAACCCTACTTTTGGTAGAATATGGCTGTTTTTCTAATGTGTGAATTTTGAGTGAGTGTCTCCCCATGAATAATGAAATGTTAAACTTAAGCAAACTTTACAACATCTACACCCACTCTATTCTACAGTCATTTTATTTACTCCAAGGACCTATGGAAGCAACTGAGTAGGTAGGTGTTTCTGTAATATAACAGCTGAACATTCAAAATCAGAGGCAAATAGGCAATTAATGTAATTTTGAAATCTAAAGGCATAGCCACCTAATTATAGTCAGTTCTATGAAAAGGCCATTATAAATCTTCAATATAGAAAGGAATGAACACCGAATATCTTTGCACTTAGAACTTGGTATCTTTCAATACTCATAGAAACCCCAAGGAACTGGGAGGAAACCAAAGACCACAAAGGTTAAGTACGTCTCTGAGACCACCCAGCTTGTAAACATCGAGCTGGGATTTGAAACCAGGCCTTTGTGAACTTCAAAGACTATTATTTTCTCTTTACCACTCTGCTTGTATGGTTAATGGAAATGTTAAAAATAATCACTTCGAGGTTGGGAAAATAGTCAATGGTAGAGTGCCTGTCCAGCATGTGTGAGGCCCTAGGTTCTATCCCTACCCCTGCAACAAACAAACAAAACAAAGTAATCACTTGATTTCTTAGATACTGGCAAATCCAATTCATTTCATCAGTATATAGGGATCAAGGAAAGCTGTGCTTTATTGGATGAAGGGAATCATGGCCTATCAGGTTGATACCAACCCCAAACAAGTTTTACTCTGGTAAATAATGGGGAGCTTACAAAGCTGTAGTACATGGAGTCCCAGAAGAGAATTTCTAAGATGGGAGTGCCAAATGTTTTAAGGTTCACTGAAGCATGATTGGAAGCAATGTGTCCTGGGATGGGCAGCCCCAGCAGCTGCAGTTTAACAGGTTGGGCCAAGGCTGTCTAGTGTGTCTAAAGAGCAGTCACAATGGCAAGAAATTCTCTGAATAGTGCTAGAGATGGCAATTGCAGGGCAGATTTCACTGGTGCAGAATGCAAATTGAACCACTATTTGAGCAATCAAATTTTTATACACACATGCAAAAACCAAAATCACTTACTTAAACATCACTGATTTGTTTTAGGTGGGAGGACAATCTGCTTTGTTATGTACCTAACATTTTGCTACTTCATTAAATCAACACTAAGTTTCCTTTGTGTTTCTGGTGGCACTGGGAATACAAAAAAATGTGAAGATGACTGTGATAGCCAAGTTTAAAATTTTGGGTGGGAGTTAAAGATTTGAATACTAATATGAATCCATCTGAGGCTGTTACTCTATAGAGTTTATATTTTTCTTGTTTTCTTACACA